AGTAATAACTAACATAAAAACGAGAAAAGATCGAGACTTTTAAATGTAGAAGATGATATGAGAGCAGCATTGTCAGTTTTACGACCAAATATAAATGAAATTATCAAAAAACATCAATCTCAAATTTCTCATTAAAAGTATTCTTATTATTAACTTGCAATTAATCCTTAATTAAACGTACTGCTGTTTTTGGTAGTACATTACTTTATTTTACATTCAAAATTATCATAAACTATTTTACACAGGGTATTATAGGTAAGTAAGCAACTTTAAAACTTACCATTTTCTCTGTGTGCTGCCAAATTTTGAAATCATTAAAAGTGTGCTGTGACAAAAAAAAGGGTCGAGAATCACTGTCTTAGACCATTAATTGTAACTATTTTGAACCATTAACTGTAATAGGAAGCTATATTTGAGAGCCCAGACATAAAATTTCATTTTAGTTGTTTTCTGCTAATGCTTTCTCCTGGTATTTTTTTATTTATATGTGTACTCTTATTTGCTTATGCAAATAAGCATACCTATAGCAATAATTAATGACAATGTAGCTACTATAGCAATCTGGCTTATTTGCATAAGATTGATACAGTTTTGGGAGAATGAAAATATATACACTCATGTCCATAAATTAAGGATAATGCAAAATCAGGCAAAGGAAGTTATAGCAAAAAATTTGACTATTTGTAAGCTTATTCAACAAAGGTAAAGAGATATATATGTGATATTATTAAAAATTAGGTTTTCTCCCTGGAGCAAATTAAAAAAAAAAAACCTATTTACAAAAACCAATATTACATTTTGGTATGATTGTTAATACATGTATGTCTCCCAGATGATGCAATACAGTCCGTACAACGCCTAAGCATGCTGATATCAAATTATCGATCTATCTTGGGGATATTACACCACTCAAAAGCAATCTCTCCGAAGTTCCGGTAAACATGTAGGAGGAGTTGAGGGCTGCAACTCGTTGGCCAAGCATGTCCCACACGTGCTCTACTGGATCAAGCCGGTGAGAATGGCCAGTCCATGGGTGATATACTCAGATTGAAGGCATTTGACGATGTTTGCATGGTGAGGAGGCCGTGTCATCCATAAACAAATTGGCGCCTATGGTGCCCCGAACAAAATGTGTTGCAGAAGATCCCGATAGATTGGCTTGTCATGGTTCCAATTTGAAACAGTCATTTTGGAACCCAGAATAATCCACCCCAAACGACCACTCCTGCACCACCGTCGTGTGTTCAATATGTTTTCTTGGTGTAAGGTACCTGGAGCTCTCCATATGAAAGTCCCGGCGAGAATCAGACTGCAAGCAAACCTGGACTTTGTCGGAAACATCACACAAGCCCAGTTGCGGTGTCCACAATGCATGCTCTATACTCCAGGCTAACCGCAGGCGACAGTGAGTTGCAGTAAGTGGAACGCATCTAGTGGTCTACGAGCATATAGACCAACTGCCTGAGCGTCTGTACACAGTCTGCCTTGAATGTCGTCCAGTGGCTGAGAGAGCTGATGAGACAGGTCTGAGGCTGTGCTCCACCTGTTTCTTTTGGCGTAACTGCCAAATAGCGGCCTCATTCGGCGTGTAACTCTGGGGCGACCTGTGCTGTAATGTCTACTCACATTCCCATCATCTTGATCGTTGCCAAAGCCTAGAGATGACACTTGGGCAATTCCAGTTCGTCTGATACTTCCAGTTGGGTACGCCCACATTCCAGATGGCCGATAGTTCCCACCAGTAAAAAATCATCCAAATGCTTCCTTTGTGTTCAACTATTTGGTTATTGCACTGAATGCTTTATAAAGCGCCTGCGAACAATTATTTTTTGCCTGTATTCCTATATATCACCTCTTACACTTTGTCATTGTGACGTATCATCGGGTCTCTGTTACTCCTGAAATGTGCATATGAATCTTGAAGATGTGTGTAGTGATTTTACAGGTGATATATTTATTTTAGAGTATAATTTCCACGTGACTCCGAATTATCCTTAATTTATGGACATGAGTGTAGTATGCATATAAAAATATATTTTTACAAAATTCAATGTATTGCATACCAATACAAATATCACTGCCCATTGCAACACTGAAAAATTTCAGGAGGTAATGTGCTACGTGACATAAATCAATTTATAAATTATTTGTAACAGCATATAAAATGAAAAAACATTATTTAAATGCCAAATAAAAGAACAAAATGCAAGTATCAAATTAATGATGTGATCAAGTAAATAAAACATAATGCAAATGTAAACAAAAGGTGCACACCTTATATTACAAAAGTATTCAGTTAAATGAAATTGTCATATTTAAAATAATGAATTAGGACAGAATAATTTTAAAAGCTATAAAAACCTACTCAGTACATTGTACGTGGTAGCTAACAATGAACAAAGTTTTTTTCTTAATTCCATGGGTAGGTGTGTCTGTCTACAGTTGCCAGGTTTAAGAGAACAGCAAAAATTAGGCTGGTGAAAATGGTAGTTATGGCATGGCTAGACAGTGTGACTAGCTATTAAATCAAATAAGTAAATAAACTCATTTCTAAAATTTCTGGCTAAAAGTCATGAAACAGGAAGATAGAGAAAAGGATAAAAAATCTTCATTCAAAAAGAGCTCCAATTGTGACTTAAGAAAATAAATTGGCTCTTAATTTGTAATATTCTTTTTCTGGCTTCTAAGCTTTTACTAACTAAGCCAGAAAAAAGAATATTACAAATTGATACATCATACTATTTTACATTTGTGCAAATCTTCACCAACCAAATTTATCCTCCTTATTAAAGCTGTCGGATATAGCTTTCATATCTCATAAACTAAAAGATTAAAATTTAAAATTAATGTTTGATTTTTGAAATACAAATTAATAAATTCAATCTCAACTTTTATCTTTGAGTGTGCTAAGGAGATTTCACTTGAACATCTGTACAAATATTCCTTAGCCTTTTAACTTGACTAATAAAGGTATTTTCTATTACTTTTTTGGAAATATTGGAATTCCAATTCATTAATTTAATAGTAGTGAACTTAAAATCTTTTTTTGTCAAAATTTTTTATGGTGTGATGATTAACAATTTGCAAATTAAGACAGTTGATTAGTATTAGTAGGGTTAATTTTAGAATGGTAGAGTGGGTTTTTAATCTATCTATCACCTTATTATTATTGAAGGTAATAATATCATCTATGTACCTGTAGGTATTTGCAAATAGTTTTAATTCTTATTCTTTTAATCTTAACTGAAACTTATACTCTTGTGTGAACAGAAACAAATTACAAATTTGTGTTGAGCTGTTATTGATAAATGCTAATTGCTATGACCTGCAGAAAAATATTATTATTGAAGGGTTGGTGGAAGGGAAGAGGGTTGCCCACCCCTCTTCTCTTCCAGCAAACCATACGACTTTCAGCTCATCATATATTTAGAATGCCCCCATGCTGCAAAGACACTATACATTTACAAACATCCATGTCTTGTCCGGGATTTGAACCTGGGCCCTTCGATACGACAGTAGGCTCCCCAAAGACAATACCATATGGGTGGCCACTCCAAATGTTATTGCAATTATATGAAACTGATAATGACACTAATTTAATATTCATGTAAAATACAGGGTGTTTATAAAGTCCGGAAACCATTTTGATGTTTAATAACTCATAAAATAATGAAGATATAAACAAACTTATAGCATTTATTGATGGAATAACTTCTATATTTTTCCTTTTCAGGTTTGAATATCTTTACTTTTGTAAATATCATCTGCGTTTGTGGTTAGTTTCAGATAATTTCATTTTTCAGTCTAAATATCTGTACTTTTCTAAATATCGTCTGCTTATTAATTGCATTTTTCTCTCTTTTGTTTTTGGCATCTTTCTGGCATTGTTAATCGCCATAATGTGCGTATATGGGGATCTGAAAACCCCCATGAATACTGTGAGGCACAAAGGGATTCCCCAAAGGTTAATGTGTGGTGTGGACTAATGCACGACCGTGTCATTTGGGCCTTTCTTTTTTTTATAGAAAAGACTGTCTCATTAGTTGTATACTTAGAGATGTTTGAAAACTTTGTATTTCCACAACTAGAAGAGCTTCAGCCACATGTCTTTTTGCAACAAGATGGTGCACCACCTCACTGGGGTACCATCATTCGTAGTTCGTTGAATGACCATTTTACAGGAAGATGGATTGGGCCAGGAGGTCCAATTCCTTGGCCACCCAGATCACCTGATATAACGCCGCTGGAATTTTTCCTTTTGGGGGTTTGTAAAGGACAACGTTTACAGGAGGAGAGTGTCGAACATGGATAACCTAAAAGCGAGAATTACAAGCACAATAGCCTCTGTGGATGCTGACATCTGGCGGGAAATTGAATATCGACTCGCGACGAAGGGGCCACTCGTGGAAGTTCATTGACAAGGGTCATGAAACTTTTTGAGTCTATGTAACCATTTATGTTATTAATTTTAATCTATCTTTATTATTTTATGAGTTATTAAACATCAACATGGGTCCGGGACTTTATAAACACCCTGTATATATATAAATACGTGAAGTTTAGTTAAGTAAGTGAGTGCTGTTTGTATAATTGTATAGTACCACGGCAGAATAAAAATTGTATTTTTTTGTCAAAGTAATGGAACGTTTTTCCATATTTTGCAGTAGTAATTGTGTTTGTTCATAAGCAAAATTGCTGTGGGAAAATAATGCCATATGTACTAGCTGATATATTTCACTACGGACTACTAAATACCCTGTTCTGTCTTAGTGTACTTTTGTAATTTACGGACTACGTATTTCTGTAATTCAGAAAATTGGGAGCTGCAATAAACTGTTGATAAAAGTACATGATAATATTTATAAGAAATTTAAATTTAATAGGAGTTTAAAAAATTTTAATATTTCTTAAATCAATGTTTTTTCTTATGTGTATTTTGAATTTCATATTTGTGTATTTAAAATCATTTGTTTAAATAATAATTTTTTTCTCTTTTGAAGGTTGGTATCCGATGTTTAGAAACGGGAGTTCTTGGTGCTTATTACAACGTAACGATAAATGCAGAAGGCATAAAAGATGAAAATTACAAAACTGGGGTTAGTGATTAGTTTCTTCCATATTAGAAAAGGACCTTCAATTAGATGTATTATAATTAACCTTATTCTAAAAGAAAATATTTCCTTTTATATTTGTTTTGTATGACTTAACATTTTTTTTAAAAAAAATTCACTATTAATATAAAAATCTGCTTTTATTTTTTGCAGCTTGTGATGTATTTCTTCTTTTTGAAAACATGTATGTTTCAAACAATAGCACGGAAGCTGTATTAGACAAGTGATCAAATGCTATTTTAATGTGTTTTTCATGAGTTCAAATATTAATTTTCAGTGTTATCCATACATTATAGATATTAATTTAGGAAATAGCAAATAATGTAAGCATGTATTAAGTATCACTATGTTGTGATGATTATAACTGTGGTAATAGACTTGCATGGACTATGAGAAATTCATAACTAAAAAATGCCACTTTTGATGCCTCCTGGATAAACACTATTAATCAGTGGAACTTCATTTTTTATGTGAATAATGGAAAACCAGTGTATGCAAACTGATGGCTCTAAAATTTGTCATTAAATGCCATGTACTGCACATTAATCTTAAATGTAATAGATTCAATTAGGGGGAATACTTTGTGATCCAATTAGTTCAGAAAAATGTGATGAATGGGAAATTGTCATGATTGTAATTTTAATATGCAATGGTAAAATAAACTTTATTATAATCAGATTCTTGTTAAAGCCTGAAGTATAAAATCTATTGGTCCCCCTTCTCCTTTTCTTTCATCTAACCATGTTCTTACTCAATCTTAAGATATTGATTCAATGCATATTTAAAAGGCTATAAAAATGTAATGTTTCTTGGTACAAAACACAGAAAATTTTAGTATCTTGTGCAAATTTTTGTGCAGATAATAAGAATGACTCTCTTTTGTTATTACCGTTAAATAAAGAATAAAATATTGAGGTTTCTCATAATAAAATAATCACTTTAAGATACATAAAATATGACAGAATTGCAGTATGTAAATTGCTATCAATCCCATAAAACGTGTCATTTTGATTTCTACTTGCATATGTTTATAAAATGAGCATTATTCAATGTACATGAAGAGTGTATTAAAAATAGAGATAAAAATTTGATGTAGGAAAGCCCTTATTCATATCTATGAAAAAGCATAAAATTTTTAAATTAAGTGCTTTGTTTTGCCAACTTTAAAATTTGTTTGGCATCAGATAAAAAATAAACATATTTAGGTGAGTGTTATTTACTTTATTTCTCCCAAAGATTAGGCTTTAGTGTTTGGATGTTATTAGCATATACCTTGAACTTGATATCACTAATATGTATTACTATTAAAAGATTTAACTACTTAATACAATAATCTTTACTACTCTTTCAGGTATTAAATGAAATAGAAGAGTATCGCTTGTTGGCAGAAAAAGGTTGTGAAGAAGTTCTGCAAATACTGCAAGAAAGAAGAGCTTGAAAATATTTGTCCTCCATACGTATGCACATTTAATATTTTTGTTGTGACAATCTAATTGTGTTTGTTTTATAAACTTATAAACTTTTTATTCACTTTTATCATTGAGTATTTGTTATTTATATATAATTTCAAGTACTGTTCATTTTTAACCAGTGACTGTTTTTTTAATATTTTATAATTATGTATATATAGTTTAATTTTTTAAATTGTTGATGAAATTTTTTCCATATCTATTGTTGAATGTTTTTGGAAAGTCTATTTTAACATAAGTTGAAACGTTACATAAAATATGCTCGTGCCAACTGTTAGTAAAACGCAGCTGTGAAACACGTAAAGTGAGTTTGTTATCTGTATCAGGGGTATGTGGTCACTTTAGTGCATCCTTGACTATTGCATTACAAGGATAAATAAAATCACTAAAATGTTTTTGCACCTTGTAACAGTATTTAGATGTGGTGCTATATAGATATTGTATAGTTTTAAAAACTGAAATACTGAGGCTTTTAATATAAATATATTAATTATGTTGAGGCATCAAATTTTGAATGCTAAAAATATGAATTCATATACAATCAAAAATTCAGTTTTATAACACTGAAAATTGACTTTCATGTTTCATTAAAGAACTGAATTCGGTGTTATTGATTGTTGCTTATCAAAGTCTTCATTCAGGGTTGCCACGCTACCTGGAAAATTGAACAAAAAAAAAAAAAAAAGTCAGGGAATTCGAAAATTGACCGGAAAAATCAAGGTATTTAATTATTTTAGTCAAAATCCAGAAACGTGAGGGAATTTAATGTTGTAATCTCCAAAAAAGTGATTTTCGTGCCGACATCAGAAGCGATCACTTTCTTGGCAAATCGCGTGAGCGTCATTTGGACAGCTGCCGTAGAGCCAATTTTCGCAGCAGCAGTCAGATTGTCTTTTAGAAAGGCAAAGCAAGTTTCTAGTAACCTCGAGAATCCAGAGCTACGCACGTGCAGTGCATGTTGAACAAAAGTAAATCCTCCCCATTCTCGTATGAAACAAAATCCTTTAAACCTTTTCTTCTTTCTTAAATACCTTTTCAATTTTTAATATTTAAGTAATTAACTTCATTTTAATGTTATTTATATCATTTAATATGTGTTCTTCCTTTTAAATTTATGTATTATTAGTTAATAATACTTTCAAATTTCATGCAATTTTCTCGGGCATATTCTAGCAGTAATATGACATACCATCATGAAATTTAGCACACATATTTTTTACTTATGTATGCTGCTAAATAAATATAAAATACTTGAATTTATTTTTAAAACATAATTAAATAGATTTAGTTCTTAAGCTGCAAAATGTCAGCAGAAAAAACATTTTTAAATCCTGATTGGGCAGATTCTAATCTCAATCCTCAGTGGAGAAAGTAACTCCTATTATAGTTATAAAAGTAATGTTTTGGGGATTATACATATACATGCATATAAAGTCATATGTAACTGGCAAATTTTTGTGTTTTTAAATGGTACGCCATAATTAATTTACCCTCAGCACAGCCAATGTGCATTCCAGATAGCCTGGAATTTTCTTGAAACATATATGGAAAGTCTGAAACAATCTGGGAATTTGATTCTCCTATTTGAATGGCAACCCTGTTTATTATAAATCAATAGAAAACTAAAAAATTAGAGAATGCAAATTTAAGTGTACCAGTTCTTCCCTAATTGTATTTCCATTTATGCATAGAAATTAATTGCTTTTGCTAAGTTTAAAATCATGTAGTAAATGTAACTTGTAACACTCATGCCATTCACTGAAGATAATAGTCATATCATAAATCTACTGGGATATGTAGGTAAATATTTGTTTCTTCAACCGTATACATTCAAAAAATATGCATGTCTTCTGCTTTTAGAAAAACCTTCAGTTAGGCATTTTAGCTCATCAAAGGAATATATTTCTAATTTGAATTAATGCTGTGAATTTTCACTTGGGAGAGTGAAACCCATGAAGCATTTTTAAACTGTCCACCACCAACATATGAGGCAGATATTGCAGCCTTGTCTTTTGGGGCACAGGTACTCTTATTGTGTAAAGAAGTGCAGTTACAGCTTAATTGATATCATGGCTGTTACACATACTTCATTCAGTTTTTCATGCTAAAGAGAATAGAGAAGTGTATCCTAGAAAACATTAGTGAAACATTATTTTAATGAGAAACAATTTATCAGCATTCTAAAATTTGATAATTTTGCTGTCTATAATACACTCATATCTATAAAGGTTCAGAAACAAAACAAACCTGACTTATTCATAAGCCCATTTATTAAACAAAAGAGACGATGTATGTATGATACCATTCATAAAAACTAGGAGTTGTGCTCCCAGTAGCAATTATAAAAAATATCTTTTACAAAAACTCAACATTATATAGTTGGTATGATGGTTAATACATTGTATGTCTCCCAGACGATGAAATACACTCTGTACAATGCCTAGGGCATGCTGAGTATCAAATTGTCAAGCTGATCTTGGGAAAGATTATTCCACGCAATGCTCTCTAAAGTTCCAGTCACATGTAGGAGCTACTTAATGGGCTGCAATTAGCATGTCCCACACATGTTCTATTGGATTCAAGTCAAGTGAGAATACTTGCCATTCCATACGGTTGATATCCTCAAACTGAAGGCATTCCTTTACAATGTTTGCATGGTGAGGATGGGCGCATCATCTTTAAACACAAATTCTGCACCCATGGCACCTCTAAACAGACATACATGTTGTTTCAGGGTGATGTTTCGATAAATTTGGCCTATCACGGTAACATACAGATCTGTTCTTGGACCCTTGTATAATTCCACCCCAAACAAGCAATCCTGCACCATCGTAACAGTGTCGTTTAATGATGTCTTGGTGGCAGTGGGTACCTGAAGTTCTCCATATGAAAGTCCAACATGAATCATTACGCAAGCCCAGTGTGACGATGTCCACATTGCATGTTGTCTACTGCTGGCGACACTGAGTTGCCGTGAGCAAAAACATCTGACAGGCCTTGCGAGCATACAGACTAATCTGTCCCAAACTTTTGTACACAGTTTGCCTCGAAATTGTCATACCCTTGGCTGAAGATAGCTGACGAAGCAGGTCTGATGCTGTGCTCTGTCTGCTTCTTTTGGCAGTTACTACCAAATACTGATGCCAAAGCCTAGAGATGACACTTTGGGGTTATTCCAAGTTCTTTGGATACTTCCTTGTAAAAAATCATTCACGTGCCTCCTCTGTGGCACTGAGTGGCTTACAGAGTGTTTGTGAACAATTTTACTTCTTTATTACCATTCCTTATATATACTTGTCTTACACTCTCATCATTGTGATGTACTATTGGTGTCACCTGATGACTTCCTGTAATTTGAATATTATTTTTGAAGATGTGTGTGTGATAATTTTACAGGTGAAATTTTTAGTTTAGAGTTTGATTTTCATATGATTCTGAGTTATCCTTAATTTATGGATATGAGTGTATTTCTGTAGCTGGAACTTTCTGAATTTATTTGTAACGTATTTTTTGTAATCATTTCATTTCTTCAGGTAAAGAGAATCTTCTAAATTGTAGTTTATAGTCAAATAAGCAATGCAGAAGATCTAGAAATATAAAAAATATAATTTTTAATATCATATTAATGTCATGAAACATTCTAATACTCCCTGAGATAACTAACTCTACAGAAGAAAAGTATTCTAAAACTGCACTTTGTATTTTAATATTCTTGCAAAATTTTGACACACAAAATATTTATATTCCAAGTATGGAGCTTGATGTAATCGTTCTTATTCAGACAACTGCTTAAAGACGAAAATTTGGGTTATTAGATTGTAATTATTCAGCCTACAATATACAACAACATCTTTGTTTACATATACTAATATAAATCAATATATAATATAAAAATTGATATTTTAAATAGTTTTCTAAGTATAATTTTGATTTAATAAGCTGTCTTAAAATAATTGGATATTGAGTATGTCTTAAAGTTCTGTTATGAAAATTCATCTTGAACCTGCCATTTAAGATGCTGATTTTAATGTAAAGGTTACTGATCCCTGGACCACAGGATTTGTGATAAATACTTTTTGCCAGATATTACACCTTTATATTAAAATAATTTAGCCTTCCAGTATTTAAAAAAAGTGTTACGATTGTGGAAATTATATTTTTTACTTGTTAAGAGATTTGTAAAACTTGGCATTTTAACTATATCTTTTGCAGATATTTTGTTAGAAAATTAGCTTGTCACATTTATTGTTAAATTGCTATATTATACACAACATTATACTTATTCTGTTTTCCTAGAAAAACAAAGCAATAAATATATTATTGATCTCTAAGCACAATATAATTTTTTCTGAAATTCTGTAAGTTTCCAAGACGAAAAACTTTTTAAGCTCATTTTTCATGCAGCTTTTAATGCTATATACATATATCACAATATTATTAAATATTTACAAATTTCAGCAGTATTCCACACTTATGCTTAATAGCAATCTCATAGTTATTTAGAGATTTTACAGAATTTTTTAAAGTTTTGAGAATTATACTGTGATTGCCAAATGCAAAGTGAACAATTAACATTTTAATGTAAATAAATTAATATAATATAAATGAAATCCCAATCCAAATGGCCGTAAACATTTTTTGAAATTGGTAAGGAAAAATTATAAAAAATAGGATGCTTAATGTATAATTTAAAACTGACAGTTTTAATTAATTATTGACATTTTTAACTAATTATTGTCTAGCATGTTTATTGAAAGTTCATGAAATTTCTTTAAAAATATTTATTAATTTCCATTGCATTTTATTTTTTCGCGATCACTTTTAAGAGAGTCTCCATAGCAATGTAAATTTTGATACTGATGCCATTCACTAAAGCTTCTAAATTTATTTTTCAAAATAATAACACGTGATATTTCCTAGACTGTTTGCATTGTTAACTCTTACTTTTCAGCTTCATTTTAGAGAAGCTGAAAGAAGTTAAATTTGGTGACTAACAATTGTAATGCTACTAGATGCTTTTACATGGCTAATACAGCCATGAGGCAAACATGGCAGCAATCCCATAGCTATTAACTCTGCAGACTTCATCACATCTCCTAGTCTCTTGGTAGATGGCCAAATCTTCCAGTTTTTAATTTTTAATTTTTACTAAGGAAAATGTTTCCATGCAATAAATGAAATTCATTGAATTAATGAAACTTAAATATTATGCAGATTCCATTCACTCTGCCTTTAGTGAATATTTCTCATTATTGTCTTTGTGCAAGGTGTAATTTTGGTATTTCTTCACTTCTTTTTGCATTCAGTTTCATATCATTAAAATAATATTTAAATATATTTTAAAAAATTAGAAAAATGTCCAGGCTTGCTTTAATTTCAAAACAATGCACCTGCAAGGCTTCCTCCATGACCTAAACTTCAAAGGCCACATATGTTGCCGCATTTTATTAAATTGCCACAAATTTTATTTTTACGTTAGATATTGCATGGTATAATATGTTTACATTGTATTTTGCTTTTCTTACTCTTCCAACTTTTGAGGCCCTATGATTTAGTGCAGCAAAAATATCTTAAAATAAATAAAAATGTAAATTCTTGCATGTTAATGTTAACAGGAAAATATTCGGTCAGATGACAAAATCACATATTTGAGCTCATGGGCTACACCCTATACATATCACGTGGGAAAGTTCGCAAATGTGACACGCAGGTGACAATAAGCAAAATAAGTCTGAAATTATTTCTGAAGAGAAACCATCTGTGAGTCAAGCAGAGAAACAAGTACTGTGGAGGCGAAGCCATTTATCATAGGCAGAAGAGGTTGTGACTAGAAAGGAGCTAAGGGATTCAATATTATAATAAAAGTGCAATAAGCCTATTTGCAGGCAAAGTGGAGATGGGGTTTTGAAGCCATATTTTAATTTAGAATGTGTGAGCCAAAATGGGGAAAGTTTATTTCAGAAAAATAAGCATCTAATAATTTTACAGAAATATGCAAATTTTTTAAAGAAGCGAACAAATAAAAAATACAAAATGAAAAATAGAATAAAATACAATTAATTAGCTGCAAAAATAAACAGAGTGCTCTAAATAACACACCAGGTCTTCTGGTGTTATTGGTTCATTATAGTCATAATCCAGAGCAGAAATGTTCTCAATGTTCATTTTATAAATATTCTTGAAGAATTTCTTGGCTAATTTTGACATGTAGTTTTCAATTTTTGGCAATTTAAATTCTTCACCTATTACATTTACATTATTGGGCCACCAGCCATTTGTGATCTGCCTATGTATAATATTTAACATAATTTCATGTCTGGCAAATTTCTCATACAGGACAGGCATAAGTAATTATAGATCTTATAATTCGGTAACTTATTGTCTATAGGTAAAATGAAGTTCCAAGAAATTAAGGTATGTTTAGCACCGGTTTTTGGTTAATAACATCAAGTACTTGATGTGCTTGGCCCATGGGATGATTAGTATCATATATTTTGATGTTCTGCTTGATCTTCCTGTTTGTTTCTTGTAGTACTGTCTGTCTATAACAAGAATGCTTTTCAGCACAATGTTTACAGCTATCTGCCATAGAAACAAGCCTAAAATAATTTGTCTTGAAAAAATGCATTCGAGTCTGTTACCTTAATTACACTTAATGCCAATGTATACTTTTTGAAATATTGTTTTGTCTTTCCTTCATTCACCAAAAACAAAACAAAAATAATAATAATACTCCCCTGATCCTACTTGAAATTTATAAAACCTGTTACTGTAATGAACATCTCCAGTTACTATAATGATGTACTAGTGAAAGTAGTTCTGATAATAGATAGTGTCAAGTTATGTTATTTACAACTGACTGCATTTTATACCTAGAACATTTTGCTATTTTCTTTTATAAAGAAAAATCTGTTTACTTGCATAAACTATCGAGAGATAGATTAAAAGTTACCAGCAAAAAGCACATAAAATCTCTCTAATATGTGATCAATGCTATCTTATGCAATTTGATTTACTTAGTATTGTATTAAAAAAACTACAAAAGTTTAAAATTTGTTTTAAATATTTCTGAGGTTGTAATTCATGTCTTGACCCTAAAATGAAACCCTAAATTTACTCAGAAGTTAGCTCCTTAGAAAGTTGAACATGAAACATATTTGTAAATACATGTAGTGCAATTGAAATGTTGTATTTTGTTTTATTTAAAAGTGTGCAAAACTGTTTTTGAATTTTTATGTGGAAGATAAAGAAAATATTCTTAGTTTTTATAGAAATTTTATAATAAAGTATGATTTTAATATGTTACAAAACTTTGTTTATGTGGCAACATATAATTTAATGCTTTATTCATACATCAAATAATTGTAAAATGTTGTTAATGAAAGCAAACAAATACTCTGAAATTATTTGAACGACAAATAAAGAATTTGAATGAAACACTATTTCTTGTATTTACTGTGTAAGAATTAAATATGATGAATAAATTCCTTTTAATTATACAGGGTGAGGAAAATAAAACCGGAACGGAAAATATTTAAAAGATTAATGCATAATTGAACCTTTTTCATGAACAGGAGAACCTCCCATTATAGAAAATGCAGGCAATGGCCACCGTTGACATCTATGCAGCACTGCGCTTTTCAAACTGTGAGTCGCGTGTAGTGAGTCATGTATAGCAGCTCTATCTGAGGAATAGCAGCAATAGCATTTTCAATGTTCTGCTGTAGCTTTTGAAGTGTGTGATGATTATTTGGGTAAACCTGACCCTTCAATTTGGACCACAAGTAAAAAATCACAAGGGAAGAGATCAGGCAATCAAGGTGGCCAGGAGATCACACTGCCTCTGCTGATAGCTCTTCACCATACACTTCATGTACTCATAACAAGATGTTCATGTTGTTGTGTGTTGTTGCTCCATTTTGCTGAAATTATCCATACAGTTGTTTGTCTTCTATGAGTTGACCCACAATTGGATTACACTGATTCTGGACATCCTGGTCGGCATCAACGGTTTGGTGAAAGAATTGTGTTATGATATGGAATCCAAATACTGTGCACCAAATGCCAAGTCTGAGATTATGCAATGGCTCTTCAAAATACTGATAGGGAACTTTTTGATACGTATTAGCACGTCATGTAAGTTTACATACCCTGATAAGCTGAACCAAGCCTGATCTGAAGAAATGAAAAACTAAAGATCTCAAAAGCCTGCTTCTACTTCACTCAGAAACTACAAGCAGAACTCGACACACACAAGTTTGTCTGAAAGCTTTAACTTATGCACAATGGTAAATTTGTAAGGATACAGATGCAGGTCCCTTTTGATAACGTTTCTACACAACGATCTTTTAATCCCTAATTATGCAGCTAAAGGGTGTTGAGTGTTGTCAAGCTTACCTTCTCTCGATCAATATTTTCTGGTTTCTAACTCTTTTCAGATAGCTACGATTGTTATTCACTACAGAGCCGGTTTTGCTCTATTTTGTTACTAGGTTTTGCACTGAAAAGTTTAACACTTCCATTCTTAAACTCTGATGCAAAAAATTCTGCATAAGTTTCCTGTGAATTGTGCTTTGCATAACACTTAACAAGGAACATGTGCTGTTTAATCATGAGCATCATTCTCTGTGGCATTCAACTGGTCACTAAACATGTCTGCACTTCTCATTCGCTCAAATGTAATAACACAGCAAAGAACTCTGAACAGAACACTTGAGAGATGAGCATGTGACAACAAACGAAGGTTATATCGATGTCACCAGTGACCATTTCAAGCATTTTATATATATATATATATATATAAAGGAAAATTCTCCCATTCATGAAAAAGGGTACATTCTGTGTCAAGATTCCAATTATTTTTCTAGGTAGGTTTTATTTTGACCACTCTGTATACATGTTTGTCAATGAATAACACTGAAAAAAGTACCATTACCTGTGTCAAAGAATATAAGTCAGTAGAATTTGCATGTTGAAATTCCAAAACATTCAAAAACCACAATTAGATATTTATCATTTTAAACGTATTAAAACAGTATATAAAGAGAAATAAACATTTCATGTAAATTAAACAGAATTTCACATTTTTAATTGATGTGGTTATTAATACAAAATTCTCACTTCTCTTACTCTACATTTAGACAAGAATGTCCCAACAAGTATGTAACTCGAAGCTTTTTTGTTGTTGTTCAGGTAGAATAATCAAACATTTTCTGCTGATTTCTAACCCAACAATTGTTGAATAATTTTTTGTAATCTTAACCAGTTATAATCTTGAAAGCATAAAAACAAGTGCATGCAATGGAATAATGCATACTGGAGAAAATATAACAGTCAAGATGCAAAAATTGCTTTAGACTATCAACTTACAGGATACTTTAATTAAAAAACAATATACACTGCTTATTTTGAAATTATGATATGTAATATATTAAAAATTAAACTAGTGATTTAAAAAAAAATGTATGTATCACAGCACTAGTTATTTCATATTAAATTACTATGTATTACAATATGGGCTGCATTTAATGAGTCACAACCATGACCATAACTGATCTGTACTGTAAAATATACCTCTTAATACAAAAATAAAAGAAAAGAAAAGAATTTGGATAAACTCCATCCCTAAAGGAAAACACTGAACGAATGTAAATCAGAAATTATATCACTTTCAGAATACACTGTAACTTAGTGATTCAAATCATAACTTCAATCTGAAGATTGTTTATCCATTTAGTATCTTTATTAGTTATGACTTGCACTGAGAATGTTATAGAAGTCACTGTAATAGTGCATACCATTCCTTTCACTGTGCTTTGAAATTCAGTTGAGATGAACTCAACTGAATTTAAAGCACTTTGCAACTATATAGGCATTAATATAGTCTAAAACAGCTATACAGTGCACTCTTTAATCGCAGTTTTTTTAGAATAGTACTCTCAAAAGTTATTTTTTGCAACTATAAGTTCCAAAATAGCATCAGAAATGAAATTTAAAAGATCATATACCTCCAGGATGACCTTGGTCAATATGGACACCAGAAAACATGAACTGTATCAGAAACATAATTTTGTACAGTCACAAAAATTAGCTCATTGGCACATTAGTGCACTTTACAGTTTCCAATTCCAGACAATAATTTTGTATAACTCTTACAAGATCCTAATAATCGAACAAATAGACTTATTTCTAGCATTAGGGACAACGCTTGCCCAATCTAACACCACCAGACTATTTTTATAACATAAATGTTTAAACAATATTCAACCAGTATTAACGAGCTGAAAGATCACACTTTCAAAAACATTTGAAATGTTGTGCACAGAGTTATGCCATGTTTACCATAATTCATTTCTAGCATTTGGGGCAATGGTTGCCCAACTTAACAACACTAGACTGTTTTTATGATACAAATTTTTAAACAATATTCAACCAGTACAAGCTGAAAGATCAGACTTTCAAATACATTTGAAATGTTGTGCACCGAGTTATGCCATGTTTACAATATAAACTAAGTGAATGAATTACACAATTGATAGCATTTTTATGCCAGAATAATTTTCCATACAATGGAACATGTATGTTTGTGAAACAGTACTGCCTAGTTTTCTCTGAAGTATTTTAAAAACTCTAAGGTTCTTGGTCAATTTGTATAAATTCCACAATTACATATACAGTGGAACCTCGAGATGTGAGTTTAATTCGTTCCAGCATTGAGCTCCTATAGCGAATTTCTCGTATCTAGAAACAAACTTCCCCATTGAAAATAATGGAAATCCAGTTAATCCGTTCTGCAACCCCAAAAATATAAACATAAAAATATTTTTTTTTCTAATAAATAACACTGGTAAATAATATAACCATAGTTTACCTTTATGATAGCTTCCAACACCGAATTGCCTTTTAACTGCTTCTCGTTAATCCACGCCAACAACATCTAGGAGTTTTGGATGGTGCTGGGATGTAACAGTAACTCCTTTGGCCACATCAAGTTTCTTAATTTCTTCCTTCTTCTTCAGAATAGTGCAGATAGTCGCTGTCGAATGCAAGTCTTCGCCGATTCCGTCTCTTGTACCCAAGCACACCTGTTTATCTATGATTTATTTCTTACTTTCGATGGCCATGGCTTCCTTCTTTTTATTTGCAACACTATGAGTCAACAATCTTCTTGGAAGGCATCATGAAATAATTATTTTCACGTTAAATGTAAAAAACATTAACTCGCAAGCGCACAAACAAGTAAATCAAAGAACACTCATTGATAGTCGAGCCGGACCCGAAAATGGCGCCATGCATACCAACAGCCTGGCTCGTTGCTGGTTACTCGAGTCAATGCTCATATTTAGAGACTTTTTCACTCATACTTTTCTCGTATGTAGAGGTGCTAGTATCTCGAGGTTCCATTGTATTATTATGAACAATGTTTTACTTATGTTCACAATTCTTATTTTTGATGAAGACAACTCATTATGCCCAAAACCAAAAGGTATGTTTCCAAATTACCCATAATTAGATAATGTGCACATCTTACATAATGTAAGATAAAAAATATATATAAACGTAAATTATAATTTAAAGTAGCAATAGCTTCTTAACCTTTTCCAGTGGACAATACAATATTAATTTTCTATCCATTTTGGTCATTTAAAACAGTATTAAAGAAAAACGATGTGATAGGTTCCACATTCGACTCCCCTTTATTCAACAAATTTTAAGTTTCTAAAGTGATCTTAAATGTCCTTGAGCCTTATTTAATGTAGTCAATGCATGGGACATATATATTCCAGCCCCGGGGAAAAGGTTAAAGCTCAATTTTAATGTGGTAATCCAGGTCATATGACTTACATAACTACTTCAAAACTTAAAATTTCAATAACCGAAACCTTTCTTTCTCCTAATAAACTGCATATTCAAATAACTATACATTATCCTTCTACCTCTGTTCTAGCAAAGATGCTTTTCTTCCTACTGCAACAATATCTAAGACATTAATGTTCTCAACTGGCATAATTAATGTGCCAAAGAATTGCTGGCCACAAAATGTTTCACTACAATAAAAGAAATATGACTTAAATCTGCTACAACTGTATCCTCTTGCATCAATACAATTTCTAGGTTTGCTCTTCTTTATGTATTTCTATGTGTGCGTCATCAGCGATCTGCATCATTTTCTACATATTATTATTATTATATCTAACCAATAGGATTCGAAATCCGTTGGAGTTCTTCAGCAGGTTCAGCAGGTTTGAATCCTGTCACCCAGATTTAATAATAACAATAATATATAGAAAATGATGCCGATTATTGATGAAACACACATACAAGATCCATAAAGAATAAACCGTGGAAGTCATATACACTGAAGTGACAAAAGTTATGGGATAGCAGTATGCAAATATACAGATGGCAGTAGTATCGCGTAGAAAATTTATAAATGCGAAGTGCTTTGGCAGGGCTTTCATTTGTGTTCAATTTATTCATGTGAAGAGGCTTGACGTGATTATAGCCGCACGACGAGAATTAACAGACTTTGAACAGGGAATGGTAGTTGGAGCTAGAGGCATGGGTCATTCCGTTTCGGATATCGTTAGGGAATTCAACATTCCGAGATACACAGTGTCGAGAGTATCTAATTTCAGGCATAACATCCCACCATGGACAGCGCAGTGGCCGACCACCTGCACTTAACGACTGAGACCAGCGACGTCTGCGTATAGTTGTCAATGTCCACAGAGAAGCAACACTGCATCAAATAACCACAGAAATCAATGTGGGACGTACGAGGGACGTGTCCGATAGGAAAGTGCGGCGAAATTTGTCTTCCTTGGGCTATGCCAGCAGAAGACCGACTCGAGTGTCTTTACTGACAGCACGACATCGCCTGCAGCGACTCTCGTGGGCTCGTGAGCATATCGGTTGGTCCCTAAACAAATGGAAAACCGTGGCTTGGTCAGATGAGTCACGATTTCAGTTGGTAAGAGCTGATGGTAGGGTTCGAGTGTGGCGCAGATCCCACGAAGCCATGGACCCAAGTTGTCAACAAGGCACTGTTCAAGCTGGTAGTGGTTCCATAATGGTCTGGGCTGTTTCTACATGGCATGGACTCGGTCCTCTGGTGCAACTGAACCGATCATTGACTGGAAATGGATACCTTCAGCTACTTGGAGATCACTTACAGCCATTCATGGACTTCACGTACTCAAACAACGATGGGATTTTTATGGATGACAATGCGCCATGTCACCGGGCCACAATTGTTCGCGATTGGTTAGAAGAACATTCTGGACAATTCTAGCGAATGATCTGGCCACCTAGATCGCCCGACATGAATCCCATCGAACATTTATGGGACATCATCGAGTTGTCAATTCGTGCCCCAAAACCCTGCACCGTCAACACTTTCACAATTATGGACATGTATAGAGGCAGCATGGCTCAATATTCCTGCAAGGGACTTCCAACGACTTGTTGAGTCCATGCCACGTCGAGTTGCTGCACTTCGCCGGGCAAAAGGAGGACTGACAAAATATTAGGAGGTATCCCATGACTTTTGTCACTTCAGTGTACTATAAACAACAGGACCCAATCAGCTTAAATCATATTGCTTTTATTGTAGTCAAACGCTTTGCAGCCACACATATTTTGACACATTAATCATGCCAGTTCCAGAACATTTACATTCTAGATTGTTGTGATAGGAAGAAAAGCATCAAAAAGCACCTTTGCAAGAAGAGAGTGCACAATTACTCCAATATGGCAGTTTATTAGGAAAAATAAAAGACTTCAATTCTCAAAATTTTAAAGTCCAAAGTAGTTACATCATCATCGTTATGTAAGTCATATGACTTGGGTTAGTGTCAAAATGCAGTGCAAAAAAGTTATTACTATTTTTTAAATAGAGAGGAGAAATACCCAAATTAAAATTAAGCATTAAAGTGCTATTGATAATTTATGTTTACATATTTTTTATCTCATATCTATCTATATATAATTATAATAAGAAAATCTCTAAGGAAAAGAAATTTAATTAAATTTAATTGGCAATAAGCTATGAATTATTACAAAACATTTTAGTAGTAGCTTTCCAAGTCAGTATCCAAAGTTATTTAGATTTCTATTGAAGTAAAAATTATTTAAAATCTGTGAAGAAAAATCCTTTAACCGTAAAAATTCCAAATATTAAATTCAAAATCCAAAGTACTGAAAAAGTAGTTATTGTCACTAATTGCAGATTAATTGACTTGTCAAGGGGAACAAACCAATCTATCAATTAACAATAACCAAATAAAGTGAGAGTCTTTCATCTTTTTTAAAATAAGGATCAAATTAGTTATTTTGTTAGATTTAGATCATAAACTAAGAACAATACTCAATTATTAGAAAGATATTAATCTCCTTAAGGCAAAAATTTTTTTATCATAAACAAAATCTAAAATAAAAATTAGTAAGAAATTTTTCTTAATTTAAGGTATTCGTTGAGAACTGAATTAGACAAGATCCTTATTTAGAAAAAAACATTCCCCAGCATTCTCACTATATTGTAAAATCAATAAAAAATTGTCAGTATTTGTATAAATTAATATATATGAAAGAAGACATTCATGGGAAAATGTATTAAATTAATATATATTTTAAATTAAAACTTTTTTTATAATCAAACTTGAAAGTAAAGACAAAAGTTATATATTCTTTTGCATTAAAATGTTAATTTCAAAATCAAAACTAAAATGAATATATAGTTTTGGACTAAAACATTCTTTTATAATCAAACTCAAAATCAAAAGTAAAAATAAAATTTATATTTTCTTTCATATTAAAATGTTAATTTCAAAGTCAACAGTAAAATCAAAATTTATATATTCTTTTAAGTTAATATACAAATTTAGGAACAATGCCAGGAAGGAAATTAAAATTAATTTACTTGTCTGCAAAATTTTAAAAAATTGGCAGGAAATGTAAATATATTCAGTATTGGAATGTAATAAGATTGCCTTAATAAGTAGTTGGTGAAGTGTGTTCCCTATTTAAAATACAGTAGCCTTACATTGGCAAGAAAATCATACTGTTAGTTAAAGTTGTCATGAGAGACTAAGTTTTTTAGTAAACAAATTCTAAATTAAACAGAAGAAACTGATTAATTTTTTTCTGGCAGTGGTCTAAAAAATATAAAGAAGAAGGTATCTTCACTGGTAAAGGGCCGTTTACCAGACATGAAATAGACCCATTAATTAGTAACAAAATAGAATGCCTGAAAATAAATTTTGTAATTTAAATTATATACAAAAATTATTAATTTTTATTGTTAAAGATGTCCAATTAATGAGCAGTGAAATAGTGTTTTGAAATGTTGAAGATCAATGACATAAGTATGTGGAAGCTAGTTGCTTTCCCACTGTGGAAACAAAAACATACCGCATTCAGCTAAAGAAAATGATATGGACCATTACCAGTATCAGCCAATACGATGCCAGGTTGTTGGAATTCAAAAACAGTATGCAGGATTTCTCTGTGAATGTTAATTTAACATTGGCAATATGGTAAATTAACAAATTTTGGGTATAAAATAAAAGGCTTCATTATAGAACAGATTACAAAAGCAATATGGGAAAATAAGTTAGGTATGGTAGCCATTACAATAAGTGAAATGACATACCCTTGTCATACAGAATGGTATACGCACTCCAAAATGTCTCAAGTGTTGCCGTAATTTGTCTAGTGAAGTAAATCGATACATATAAACTTCAACTTTTGACTATTTCTTCACTAAATAAACCAGTGGATTTAATTAGGACAGGCCATTTAATGAAGTGTATGTGTTTAATCTATCTGCCATACATGCTATACAGAAGTACCTGAACCTCATATGCAAAAAGAGGAGGCAGTTCATTATGTACATGCATCAGGAGCAGGAAGTAAAGCCTGAAATGGTCGAGAACACTAACACATCACAGATTCAGGTTGAAGTGTTCTTGATGCCTATTCTGGGTGATACAAATTGCATAAGTTCAGGATCCCATTCTGCTGGAACTGCACTTCATCCATGTGCTGTTTCTGATCATTTGGCTCAGCACCCATTATGCTAACGCTAACCTTGGAAAGTAATATGCAGTTGCTAATATCTGCAAATACTGCACATGATAGAAAACAGCTGCACTATAACCTACCATACTTCCAATATTCCTCATGAAGACAATCTCAGATTTATCTTTTTACAATCAGATGTATCCTTATCAAAATACATGAAGAACTCGCTATGAAAAACCGATCATCATATTCCTTGTAGGATCAATGCAACCTCCTGGCATATTATTGAAAAACAGTAGCACTCTTACAAGGAGTAGCAATTACCATGTATGTTCTCTTGTCATTAATCTTCAAGGCCAATAAAGATTAATGACAAGAGATCATATAGAACAGCTTTCTGTTATGCATTGAAGTCCTTATGTAGTTTTCGTTTTCACAAATGTTGGTCATTTGTTGTACAAGAGTTGAACCTTTTGACTTTTACTTTTTATACTGCATATAAAATTTTTAGTAAACATAATTATTAAAACTAAGGGACTGTTTAAAACAGTGGATTTTGTGATTTTTATAAAATTTATTTTTTGAATTTAGAAATACCAAAACATGAATGTTTATATCACTTAAACATTTCTGCAATTGGGAATATATACCTTTAACCAACAGCTGCAAAACTAAAGGCCACATAAAGACTTTTGTGGACATGATGTATATTCACAGGACACTTTTCATTCATTTTTATCTGTAGAATGCATTCCAGGATTTCAACAGCTTTATTGTGGGATCTAGGATAACTTGTAAATATAATATTACTAAGAAGAAATGAAACTTTGTGTGAGACAGCTTTACGGTCATAACAGTTCTTCATTGCTCACGAAAAAATTCATGTTATAAACAATTTCTTTATTTTAACATTTTCAGAAAAAGACAGAGAAAGATAAAATGTTTGTGGCAAGATAGGCATCCCCTTTAACATTTTATAAGCATTTAAAATTACATGTTGAAAGTCATAATTAAAAATATAAGATTGATAGTCTGAACTAACGAGCAGTGCAAGACTTTTCTTCATAAGCTGTTACTCTATTATTAATTATGCATTATTATTAAGCAATTATTATTATGAGACTATATGCAAGTTTTCACATCTAATCTTAAGATACAATTTTAAAGAAATTTCAAATGCTTGAAAAAGATGCATGTGCAATAGTTTGCAAAGAAAGATATCTGTACCAATAATACATGAGGGTACATCAGAAAGACAGAGATGCAAGTTGCTTATTCTGGGTTAGACCATGTGCTATTCAAGAAAATTAGAAATTAAAGATGATATACTAAAATTTCCAAAAAATCTATTAGATATGACACATGTTTAAAATTAATGTAATTAAAAAAAAGAGAGTCTTAAAAATAAAAATGGGGTTAAAGGGTTTGAGTAAAATGGTGATATTAATATTAAAATCTGATTAACTATAATTTCATATTATGTGCACAAACACTATTTCTCACGTTTCTGAGATTTATCTCTACGGATACTTTACGCATCGCATAAACTTGATGTAGTTCAATCACTGGGGGCCGCATGAGCTGACTCAAGCAGATAAGGACAGATGTGCTCAGTCCTGTACTAATCTGCTCGAATATCAACACAAGGACAAAATTCTGAACCCGATCATCACTTGTGATGAAAAGTGGATTTACTTCAACAATACGGGATGAAAATGAGGCTGGTCTGCGCCCAGCGACGCCGTCGCTAGCATCGCAAAGCGCAATTTGACTAACAAAAAGATCATGTTTTGTATCTAGTAGGATTGCTATGGTATTTATCCACAAAGAGTACCTGAGAAAAAGCAAAACCCTTGACAGTAAGGTGTACAGCAAGATGCTAGCCCATGTTGACACTGCTATCAAAGAAAAACATTGAACTGATTTCCAGTGAAAAAAGGTAATATTCCATCAAGATAATGCAAGACCCTGTGTGTCTGCTTCACCAGTTGTCTCTGTATGAACTCGAATGTGATCTTTTGCCCCACCCACCATATAGCCCCGACATTGCTCCTTCAAACTTTCAAGCATTTACTTTTTTCACACCTGCAGCTACATCTTGCTGGTGCTGTCTTCCATTCTGCGCAGTATGTCCAAAATATGGTTATCTGTTTTTGGACTCGCTGCCACCAAGTTTCTGGGCCAAAGGCTTTGAAAAACTACCAAAACATTGTAGAAAATCATAGATTTGAGCGGTGATTACTACCCGCACTGAAAGTACTGTTTTTATTTTTTTCCCCTAACTTTATAAAGAATGTTTTTTGCCAAAAAATTCACTACAACCAGATTTATGTTTAAATACTCTCATGAAGTTTTAGTACTTTAGAATAATAATCTGGCAATTGTAAAAAATTCATTAAAGTACAAATATTTTTCATTTTTAAATGCAAGTAATATTACAACTTGACTATTTGCTAACACTGAAGCCTGCCAGCGTTTTCTCCAACACAAAATCCATAAAATTCTGTAACACAAGATCTCCATTTTGAAAAAAATTTATATTGATCATTATTTTTCACAATAATTTGTATAGAAATGCTCATTATATAATATTTTAACATTAAAAGCCTCTTATTAAACAATATATTTTTATGTACAAATGCAAACATTTTGCTCTTCAGTTTGTGTATGGCCCTAGAATATGATTCTCAGTTTTAATATTAAACATCTTGGTCAATTTTTGTGTTTGGCTTTTAAAACGAATACAAAATTTTCTTTAATATTAGTATACAGACAGGCGGAATGTATAACAAGTTACATTTCTTTTTTTGTTTGTTTGTTTGTTTGTTTAAAAATACAAAAACATGAATATCTGCATCAAACATTTTTGCAACTCAAAGTGTATGTCAATGACAAACGATTGCAAAAGTAACTGTAAAAATTTAGGGGAAAAAAAATGAAGACTATCTGCAGTTCTTGGCCAGTATTCCTATTATAGGTACAATATTCTTTTAAACTAGCAATGAACTGAACTGAAGCCATAAATAAGAGAAAGGTCACTGTTGCATGTGCTGAATTTTTAGTGTTGTGGGACATTAGACCATGCATTATATTTACATAGATCTTGAAATTTATCAAGATATAAAAGATAAAGAATATGTGCACTTCTAGAGACAAATCTGCACTTTTTTTAATATCCAAAATTTACATTTTTTAAATTTCTTATAAACAATCACTTAAGTTCGTTTTAATACAGATTTGACCATTAAAATAATTAATAAGTAATCCCTCAGTAAATTCTGTATATGCCTGAACATAAGGGAAGAGCACATTTTTTCCTTCAAAAATTTAGTTGAAATTCAAAATCCCTACATACACTAAAATAGAAAAAAATTCTGTAATGTTCAAACATGTCATCAGTGTTGCCAAATGGGTAAAATGGATGGAAAGTTTTGCAATTAAGTTGCTGTAAAGTTAAACACTGGACACCTACGAAGATAGTTTTAACCCCACTAACCCTATCTGAAGCTAGGATACTTTTTATTCATTTCCCATCTTGTATATGATCTACGGTACCTGTGTTAGTCTTATTTTCTATGACATTTTACTTTCGTCTGAAAGATGAATGGGAAAATACATACTTATACTGCAAATTTCAGACTACAAGTGACTACATTTCTTGAAAATTCTGACAACAATATGGCAATTCTCCATAAATGAAAAGTTTGAGAGTAGAGAAGAAAACATCTTGAACTAACAAAGATGTTGAAATAAAAAAAGAAGCAAGTGCTCAGGCATAAATTTTCATAATCATCAGATTTTTCTGTTTTCCCAACAATGCAACAAACCAACAATATAAATAGTTTTGAAAAGAAAACAACTCATTTTCATAAAGCAAGTAACTTATTTCATTTAAAATTATTGTTTTCATAAACTTCAGAAGTAAAAATTGGCAATTTATCACTGGCACCTGGCTAATGGAAAAATACATATGTCTTTTATGAGATTAATGAATCTCTATATAAGCCAACCCACTGTAATTTAGCTTTAGAAAAAGTTCCAAAAATTCTCGGTCACTGCAAGGACATGTACAGTAAAGTCAAAGAATGCCTTTTTTAAATAAATAAAGCAAAAAATGCAAAGGATTTTTGCCTAGAAATGCATTGTTGTGGAAAAAGTGCAGCTGCTGATTCATTATAAATAAGCATCTAAACATAAAGTAGTAGTTTGGGAATGATGTGTCACTCTTATCTTTTTCCAATGCTGCTAAATTTTGTCAAAGAGTTTGCTGCAAGCAACTGAAGACCTAAAATTTTTTGGCTTATCAACAGAGATTTAGGAGCTAATTTTAATTGAGATCCTTATTTCTAAATAAGATGTAATTTTTCCAAACCTATTTAAACCCAAAGTGGAAATATTCTTGTTTGCAGAAGCACCATAAATTTTGAAACATAGAAATTTCATTTAACCCTCTGAGTGGCACAAGATTTTATATTTATCATAAAGAACAGTATTTAAACAGCATTTATTAATTTAGTTTGTGTAATTACTTATTTTAGTCTGTATTTTCATAAACTTACATTCATTAGGATGACATTTACATTATTAAAGAAAGTAAGAAAGCAAAATATCTTAAATTATAAGCTAATACATGCCAAGTAGCAAAACTTCTGATGACCGGATAAAACCAGTCATAACGCTCAGAGGTTAAAAAAAGCAGCTAGGAGAAAAATAGTTGTTTTCTCATTTTGATATAGACTTTTAATTTCTCTGCATTACACAGAAGTGCCCTAAAATTGACATATGCTATCATAAGATGATATTGAAAATATACTAACGTAAGAATGTATCATTTAACAACAGTATTAATCTAGGATTTAATTTTAACAATAACATTTTCATAAATTTTAAAATAAATGTAAATATGATTCAACATAGATTAATTTTAAGTGCTGCAATGATTTCTTCGTATGCCATAACTTTAGCCTGAATTAAGAAATTTAATAGCTGATCTTTTGCATTACCTATAAAACAGTTTTTCAGAAATGTTGGAAATCCACGAATTCCATCTTGCATTGTAAATAGAGGAACTCTAATCATGCCAAAAGTCTGAAATGAAGAAAATTATATCAGATAAAAAACTTAAACGTATATATTCAACCAAGGAAAGCATTTAATAAAAATATTATGTTTCTTTTAAAATTCTTATTCATTAATTTTAATTAACAATGCTAGTCCCATATATGCCAGATATAGAAGACAAGTTTTATGATATCTTAAGTTTTTTAAATGCTGCTTTAGTTATGTATTTCCATAAGGATATAAAGAAAATACTATTTAAATTATAAAATTTTTAAATCATAATTTGAATATTCTCATTTATCTAGCTCTAGAAACTAAATTAAAAATTTACAATAAAACTTGCATATAAATCATGATAACCAACTAAAAGCTTTTTAATAAAGTGCAGAGCATAAAATAATTGAAAAATTATAATTTGGATATTTTAATTTAAGATAGCTTTAGACAACTAATACTAAAAATTTACAAAAAAACCTTATATATATATATATATATACAGTCAAAAGTCGTTAATTCGGACACCCATAATCCGGACCTCAAAGCTACAAACTTTCTGCGCATGCGTCGCGTTCACGCATGCGCACAGGCGTTTACGAGAGCGCATAAGACCCTTACAGCTCCGTCTTTGATATGATTTAAATCATGTTCCTCGTCATTATAATTCGCTTCCGATAGTGAAGAAAGTGACCCAGAAGGTTATTGAAAACGAGAAACATTTCGATTGACAAATTAGTCGGTATTCTCCAACACAGCGGTTCCATAGGACTTGAACAGCGGAACTTTGTAACTGAAACAAGAAATTATGTCTGTTTAATAGAATTAAAAGAGAAAGTATTATCACAATGAAAACAAAGCAACTTAAACAACATACATTGAAGGAAATGTTTAATAAAGGTAAACAAATAAATATTAAGCTTTTGCTTTTTGTAAATTTTGATACCCTTTAGATCATAAATATTGTCATTATTTCATAAATTACGGTTTCATATTTTTAATTTTGTAATTTTCTGCATGCCATCTTACCAGATTTAAACTGATGATCCTAATATCCGGAAAAATCCGATAATCCGGAATCGCCAAAGTCCCGACGAGTCCGGATTAACGACTTTTGACTGTATATATATATATATATATATATATACATATACATGCATATTATTTCAAAAGAATAAATTGAATTTAAATACAAATTTAATTAATTCTTTGCGCCATTGCTGCTAGGAATGAAATTTAAATTTTAACAAACATGTATATACGTAAAAAGAAAATTTAAAGTTAAAATAATTAAAAAATGTGCAAACATATAAAAGATTTAATTTTCGAACTAATCTACAATATCATTTAAATTCAGAGTCACTAATGCTTAATAATGAATTTCTTTTCTTTAACCAATGAAATAATACTATGCTGAATGCCATTATGGAAGAAATTATGTTAATAAAAAAAAGGAAGGATGGAAAAGAAATGAAAGAAAAAAGTCTGAACTCGTCTTGGATCATATCATTTCTAATTCTCCCATAATATATGATGGTTACGTTCAAACTCAGTAACAGTAGAGAGTTATGCTGAGGTATTGATAGCATATACAAATATTTCAAAAACAACTCTGGCACTTTTCTTTTTAATGTATACAGAAATTTATAAAAAAAAGTATCATCATATTGTGTTTTGATTCTACAATTAGTTGTATCTATGCTTGAGGTTACTTAAAAGTAATTTTTTGTGTTCTTAGATTTGCAGAATACTGTACTCTTCTGCTATTACGAGATTAAAAAATGTATGAATATATGTATAGATTATGTGTTCATATATGCATGTATATATGTAAGCATGAATGTATACACATATATGCACATACATACACACGTGCATACATTCATATATTTCTGAATCTGGTCCCGATAACAGAACAATACCTAGAATAGTAGAGAAATAAACATGAGATAAATAAGTTCAGAAAACTCCCTGTTACATGAATCATGTCCATCCATACTATTTCATGAATAAATCTGTTTGAATGGTGTATGTGTATTTGTGCTCATGACTACAGTGGTGGTCAAACTATACCTATACAGTACAAAGTCTTTAATCCAGACGTCCATAATCTGGACCTCAAAGCTACAAACTTTATGTGCATGCATAATGTGTTTAAGCATGCACATAATACATTTACACATGCGCGTTTAATGCGTGCATCCGCTACGCATGCACGTAAAGAGAAGAGATACTGTTTATAGAAGAGAGAATTAAAGAGAAAGTATTAGCACAAAAAAAAGCAACTTAAACAACTTATATTGAAAGACATGCTTAATAAAGTAAACAAATAAAGCTTTTTTTTTTTTTTTTTTTTTTTTTTTTTTTTTTTTGTAAATTTTGATACTCTTTAGATCATAATTGTTCATTATTTCAAAAATTACGATTTCATATTTTTAATTGTAAAATTTCTGCATGCCATCTTACCAGATTTAAATTGATGATCTATAATCCGGAAAAAACCCTAATCCAGAATTGCCGAAGTCCCGACGAGTCCGGATTACGGACTTTGTACTGTATTCTAGAGAGCACAGACCACCAAAGTTACTGCAGATACATATTCTTGCAGTAAGTTCTGAAATAATTGCAGTAAGTTCTATTTTGAGAAAATACAATATTATCAAATTTTACAGATTATACATGAAAGGGATTTCACAAAACATTTCCCTAACCATGAAAGCATATTAAGAATTTTCAAGTTTCTAAGCTACTAAATACAAAGACCAGTCATTATATCTGTTAAGATTAATCTTTAATATATTTAATAAAAGCATGAACAAAGTACATTATTGCAAGGAAAATATGCACTGGGAAAGGCTTTCAGTAAGACACATTATATTAACAATATTTGCATTTGTAGACCAAATTCTTGCAATTTTATGTTGTTTTTTATTCCTGATAAATAAACTTATACCTGAATATTGCTGAAAAACAACTGCCTTATGTCATTACATAAGATGATCACCGATTATTACTGAAGATAGATTACAATTACTGTACGAAATACAGTAATGTACTGCATTTACAATAGTGCCAAATTAAAAGGTAATCCATTTTTATTGATCAGCACATAATTTACATGAAAAATTTTTAAATACAAGCTGGAAATAAAAATAATTTAGGTATGTTAATCTCCCAAGAGTATCCTGGCAAGGACATGTTGCAAAACTGAAAATCTCTACAACTAACAACCTAAGCGACCCCCCCCCCTTTTTTTTTTTTTTTTTTTTTTTGATATGCCCAAATCTTAGGCATTAATTCCTGAAAGAAAAAGCTACAAATGTTAAAATTTTCATTACTATACTTGGCACATATAAAAACAACAGTTGGGAAAACTAATATGACTTACCTCAATACCATAGTCCCGTGCATCTAGTGCATTTTTTTCGATATGCTGAAATTCTTCTTTGGATACTTCCTTTCCATAGAAATGAAAACATGTTTTTGCCTCAATATTCACATGACTGAATAAGTGATTTTCATCTGTAACGAAATATTTTGAATTCAAATTTATTTCTTCCTCAAGCTCTCGATTCAATCCTTTTACTATATTTGTTCCTTCTTCAATTATACCACCAGGAAATCCAATGCAGCCATCAAAACGAAGTTGCATCTGTTCAATAAACATTAAAAGTTTATAAACATCTCGCACATTTTCATACGCACAATCTTTCTTTTATATCATACATAATTTCCACAGATAATATACGCTGATACTACTACTGAACTTTCTTTAAAAAATGAGACAAAATAAATTGGCTCTCTTAATTAAAAAGAAAACAGTTAAAAGACTTTCTCTCATCTGCCTCGTCTTGCGTCCAGTCAGTTAAATATACAGAGAAATAAAAACACTTAAGGAAAGAGTAAAATTGCATTTAAAAAAAAAGGAACAAATTTTTTACCAAGATTAACGCAAAATATTTTTTTTATTAAGAAGCATAACTAATTACACAGAATAAACAGCTGTTTTTCTTTCACATATATGGTTCAATTTCTAAGATACAAATATGATATTTTTAGAAATATTGACTCATAATGTGTCATTACAATTTTCAGACAAACAGCTAACCTTATTTAATATTCTGGTATACCGTAACTATCAGCCCTTGATAGTTACAGTATACCAGAGTGATGCTCCTTGCTTTTTTAAATTTACTGGCTGATTGCTTTGCTAAGTGTGCCACCACTTTGAAAATAACTGTTGCCTTTCATGCATTAGCTTGGTGAAAAATTAGTTGCCAGCCAAGTTTGCAACTTTTTAATGGATGTACAAATAATCAGACAGTACCTTCAGCATATATACATAATTCATTGACCGAAGATTGAAATTTATCAATATTACTGAGTAGTTATTCAAGCTATAAAATATTTTTGAAAATCACCAGTCAGATGCTAGATTTAATAAAATCATTTAAATATACAACTTGAATTGCACTGGAACTAGTATGCTACTCCCTTCAAAGTTATGTAAAGAATAAGGCAATTTTCATATAAAGTGTGAAAAAGGAGAAGGAAAAAAAGTAAAGTTGTAAAAAATAAGAGAATCAAGATGCAACAGACTAGAATATTCAGTTAAAAGTTCTTAATATGGCAGTCAAACAAAATGAGGATCTTTACTTTGTGTGAAGCCGACTGAAATTACCTTAGGTAAAATCCAGAAACATAATTGCAGCATTGCTGCAGCTGAGATTTGGAAAAGATTTTAAAAACAGCTTAAAAAATCTTGAAAAAGCAAGTATAAAATTATTTAAAATACCATAATGAATAAGCACCATTAAAAACACATTTTTAGTATATATCTTAACAAAATATAAAGGATTAGGCACTGGAATAAGTAAAAGAAAAATATGCAAGCATTGCCTTCTTTCGCATTCTTCACGTAAAAAGGATAAAAATATATATTAAAAATAAATAGCATAATTTTATACATGTGTAACATAAAGTTCAATATTAGTTTCATTTTAAAATAATAAAAAAACTGTATGCTTGAAATTTTGGCACAAGGTATGTGATGACATGACAATATTTCCTCATTAACAATCGATAGACATATTACATCATCCCCAAACGAAACATCAGTTAAAAAAATAACTAATTAAATTTCAGAAAAGTAAAGCTAGCCAAGAAATATTGATTTACAAAATGCATAACTTATAAATGGTGGACAAATCTTTACATCAAGAATCAACCTTTCTATATCCTATTTCACCTAAAATGAATAATATTTTCTTTTCAAATTGCTTTCAAACAGCAACAGACAGACAAAACTTTCACAGACTGAAATTAAAATAAAAGAATTTTAAAACAATCTACAATTCAGGTACAATGTACTGAGGGTAAAAAAAATATCCAAACCTTTCAACACAGATTTGACACTAGTGAAAAACATTCTTCCATAAAGACTCTAAATTTCTTTTATCAGCTTTCACACATTAATTAAACATTGTGAAGTGCTATATAGCTTTAATTAAGTAATCAAAAAGTGTAATCATAATAATAACTGCTTAAACACAATCATCATCAGCCTACCGAAACAAGAGTCTTTATTTCGTGATGAAGAAAATATGTATCTGGACTATCAGCATAAATGCAGCAATGGGCAACATGACCATAATCACTAAATTTTAGTGCATCGTCAAAAGTTATGTATTTGAATTGAGGATCACAATTAATTAGATTTGATATATTTGCACTCATTACTCCCAAAATTACTTGCAATACTTATTGCATCGAAATGTTTACTACAAGCAAAGAACGTCTGTGTACAAATGCATATTCTTTGCTACAAGCACAATCGATTAATAAGTTTGGCGCATACTCCGTGGTTAGCGATTTATCAGCTCTTGGCGAAATTGCGACTATACGAGCAGGGAAATATAAATTAATATTAAAGAACCTTGGAGTACAGGAAAAATGTTGTCTGAATCCACTGGCCATGTCTGAACCCAAGAATTTTATTGAACGATTCGGAATTCAGAGAACAACCTTGGTAGCGATTTGGCTCCTGAATGTTAGCGACATTTTCACACGCCAACGGAAGTAAATATTATATAGGTAGGAACAAGGGGAAAATATGTAAAAGGATTTAAACAAAGTGTTTATTTATATTTGACTGCTGATTACCCGTTGAAATCTATATGATTATAATCAGATAAAAAGTGAGGTAATTTAAATGGAATTTTAACTTTGCTTAAAACTAATGTTATGCATTTCCGACCTGTTTCAAAAGTCGCTTGAAATTCGATAAATATTGAATAATTTGAAACAAATCGTTCTTTACATATTCATACCCAAAATGAAAAAAGACGATAAATATCGTCACTCCACCTTAAAAAGCCTTCGGAGTGGCGAATCCGAGCCTTAAAATTACTTTTAGGTGAGCAATAAAAAGTTCTTACCTGAAGAAATCCCGGGTTGACTTCTTCGTTGAAAGTAGATGCGAATTTTGCATCCGAAACATACTTACATGCTAATTCAAGGAGGTTTGTGCTAATTACAACTATACACTGAAGTAATAAATTAGAAAGCTCGCACACATAACCATGTTCCTTCGAAGTAATGTCGCTTATAATTATAATCAAAACCGACGCGGGTATTACTGTCGCAATTAAAAGTTCTGCAGTGAAATGTTCAAAAAATTTATGCAATGCAAAATGATAGCAAAGAATTTTGATGGTCACCATTGTAATTTTACGTGAGCCTTAAAATTACACATTCCTGAACGGCAACGCTTCGAAACAAATCGCGGCATCAGTTGTCAACAAAGTTTAAAACACCTGTGAAAAACCACGTAGCAAGGCAATTCTTATCTTCTTCTATACGTGATGGCTATATTTATTCAAGTATTTTTTTCTGTTTTGATTTTAAAGACGATTTATGCTCAGAATACAAAGACATACAATGAAGTTGCTGAATTTGAAGAACTTTTAAAACTTGGTAGTCCTCTTGTTGTATTGTTTACTGAAGAATGTTGTGCATGCACAAACTGTGTGGAAGCAGAGGTTTTAATTGGTGGCTTGAGTCAACAAATCGAAGAAAATGTGATGGCTGATGTTGTAAGATTAAAAAAACCAGATTTAAGAACACGTTACGGTGTTAAAAGTGTTCCCACGCTGGTTTTCATACGTGATAATAAAGCAGCTTTATATGATGGTAAATTTGATTTAGATGAAGTTTATACTTGGTTACAAGAAAACAAAGAACCAGCAACTATCGATTTGAATGATGAGACTTTTGAGCATTTGACACAAGCTGCTACTGGAGCAACAACTGGTGACTGGCTTGTTCTATTTCATGACGGTAGTTGTTGCAAAAACCGGGAATTAATGCACTTGGAAAATGCTGGCATAAAGCTTAGAAACAGAGTTAATGTAGCCAGTGTAAATATACGGAAAGCCGTACAAACTGCGGAGCGGTTTAAAATTACGAAATGTCCCAGTATTATATTTTTTCGTCATCAGAAAATGTATCGATTTAGCTTACCGGATGTCACTGCAGCAACACTAAGAAGGTTTGCTGAAGGATTCTATAAGAATTCTAAAGCTGAAAATGTACCATTCCCTCCATCACCATTTGATAGATTTACAGACAAAATAATAAAATTTTATAGTGATTATTGGTACAGTTTATTAGTAATTTTAGCTGTCACAACAGTGGCTACAACATTATTATTAATCTGTACTGTGCTTCAAAAATTACATCATCAAAAATCGGAATAGAAGATCATTGGAGTAGTTTTGCTGAAATTCTAAGCATTCCTTAATTGTGTGTATGGATCTTGTATATGATTTTATTGATGTTTCTATATATTACTTTCAACAGATGCTGTGTATTGTGCTCTAATATGGTGTTCTACTGAAATAATTAATGTTACATTTATTATGACTTTATTTAATATCTAGGCTCCATAAGTGAATTAGCATAATTATTATAAAGTGAATTAGCATAATTATTATAAAGGCCACAAGGAGCCTCACTATTTATCTCATTCACGGGTTAGAGTGCAGAATCGCCCACCTATTTGTTTGGCACTTTTTACAAGAGTAAGAATAATTCGATTTTTGTCAATTTTCTTTGACTTTTTAAGAGAAATTAGGTCGATGTGTACATGGATAAAGGAAATGCACAATGCCATTTTTGTGGAATTCTGGAATGTTTTTTAAGAGAAAATAGGTCGTTGTGTACATGGATACCGAGTATGTACAATTCTTAAAAACGTGCCAAGCAGTGGGGAATTCTGCACTTTCCCCTTAGTCGTCAATAAGATAAACAGAATTACATTTACATTGCAAGTTTTTTGACTTAAATGGATTTGAAATTTCTAATGAAATAACCAGAATTGATACAATTATAATTTATTTTAATTGTGAAACTACTATTTGTGATGAATTATTTCAATTTCAGGTGATAAATAATGGTCTACAATATATATGTACCATATATATTGATTAGACTGATTTAGACATTCTTCAGTTTATGTTAATTATTTCATGTGGTAATGTTCAGAATGTCATAACTTTTTATTTTTCCCTTTGAGGTTTTTAAAATTTTGAATATATATTTATCATAGATGTCCATATATATTTTAAGACTTACCTTTTACTACATTAATGTATCGAAACACAGGATGTCTCTTGAAATTGCAGTTTTCTTTCAAATCTTGAAATAATGATACAGAATAATGAAGGTAAAGACAGTGAATGCAAGACCGATACTGATCAAAATATATATACTGGCAGCTTAAAAGAAGGGGAAAAAAAAAGAAATTCTGAAATTGGCTCAGAAAAATATATCTTACCAATTGTTATATAATAATATACACCTGTTTTTTTGATCAAATTTTACAACAATATTTGTAAGAATATATATAAAGAATTTTATTTCATTTACTTGATTTCTTAACCCTCTGAGCATTACAGGTTTAGCCTTGAAATTTCAAAGTTCCTCAAAATGTCATGAATAAGTGATATTTTCTTGATTTTAATTAAAAAATGACTCTTTCATTTTGTACCTTGATTCCTTTTCATCCAATATACATCCAAACTGAAATCAGATACATTAAAAGCTAGAAGAAATTTTCATGTATAATGAATGTGGAAGGCAACCTTCTGTACGGAATTTTCCGGCCGTAACGCTGAGAGGGTTAAAAGCAGTAGTCCCTTCTAATTTTATTGATACTGAAATTAAAGGATACTTTTAGGGTGGCATATTAGAATTAAAGAAATCTATTATTTATTTTTAATATTTCCTCAGATATTATTGTGATTCTTTACTTTTTCTTAACACCCTTGTATATGAATGCATTTGTAAAAAATATTATATTTTATAGCAACGCAAAATACCATCATAAGAACAGTGAAATTAGCTGCGATGAAAAACAAATTAGTCATATAGAATTTACAAAGTCAGAAGAAAGAATTAATAATACAGTCAAAAGTTGTTAATCCGGACTCGTCGGGACTTCAGCAATTCCGGATTATAGATCATCAGTTTAAATCTGGTAAGATGGCATGCAGAAATTATAAAATTAAAAATATGAAACTGTAATTTATGAAATAAAGAACAATTATGATCTAAAGGGTATCAAAATTTACAAAAAAAAAAAGCTTAATATTTATTTGTTTACTTTATTAAACATTTCTTTCAATGTAAGTTGTTTAAGTTGCTTCGTTTTTTATGTAATAATACATTCTCTTTAATTCTATAAACAGACATAATTTCTTGTTCATTTACAAAGTTCCGCTGTTCAAGCCCTATAATTGCTGTGTCGAGAATACCGACTAATTTGTCAATCGAAATTTTTTCGTTTTCAATAACCTCTGTTACTTTCTTCGCTATCGGAAGCGAATTATAATGACGAGGAATTTGATTTAAATTATATCAAAGACGGAGTACATCGAGATGAAATACTACATCTAGTAAGGAATTATAAGCCAAATAAAATAAAAACATCTTCCCTGAAGATAAGGCTAGTGCTGACAGATCAACTTCCAATTCTTTGCACGCTGCGGCGTTAAAGATAAACAAAGGATATGCCTTTATCTATTTTTTGCAGCAAATCCACTTTTTGTTTAATGGACTTCGAAACATACTTTCGCTTTGTAGATCCGTTACATATTAGTAAATATATATCAGAAATTCTATTTGACATAATCGAAAGTTCAAGCTTATTTTTATAAAATTGCTCTAACAGTCTGCAAAAAATAATAAGCCGAATCCAATTCGAAGATTAAGGAACAACGCAATCTGCAACATTAACTGAATTGGATAATTTTAGCTTAGCTTATACCATTCGTTACATATTAAACGCGCATTCGTAAATGTATTTTGCACACATGCATATTCGCAGCCATCAACGCGACGCATGCGCAGAAAGTTTGTAGCTTTGAGGTCCGGATTATGGGTGTCCGAATTAACGACTTTTGACTGTACTTGTAAACAATCATTTGGAGAGTTAAAGTTGACAGAAATATGAATATACGATTTTTGCAATACATTGCATTATAAATAGTTAAAACAAATACAAAAATTTTGAATTTTGTTGTATAGACTTGTGTAACTATGTTTTATAAATTATTGTCAATAAATACATGGTTTCTGTATTTAGACTCATTTCTTAATATATTAATGTAATATTAGTAATAAGTAATGTCCAGAAATATTTGTCATTATATGCAATTTTTTAAAACAAAATAACAGTGTCATTAAATTACATTAAAATAAAAATTGATAAAAAAACTAATATTACATTTAATATCCGAACTGTTGATAATTTAATAAGATGTTAATTTTTATTGTTTCTGAGAGTTTGACACTGGTTGCAAATATGATGCACAAAGGATAAGCAAGAAAAAAAGGAAACACTGGAATTTTACTGAATAATTTTGCATAAAATTTGATTATAACATTATGTTTAAAATACTTTATCTAGGCAGGATTTTAAAAGATCATGTATGTATAAGAATATTCAAATTAGGAAAGCATTAGACAAAAAATGCATACTAAGAGTTTGAAACACTTTTTACTCTTATTGTAAATAGAGTGATTAGTGAGAGTAAATTTTGAATATGATATACATGACTATACGAAAAAGTTAGAATTTGGTTATGAAAAACCACTCAGTGCAATTGAAGGAGTTAAAAACAATGAGAATCAGCATAATATTCATAAATTTGCAGAACTAATTACAAAAGTTTAAATATAGAACCCACTTCTTCGGCTAATGTGCGGATGATGGAAGAGAAGCCAGTGATAAGATACAGCACTAAGAATGAGAGGAAGGAAGTAATGCTACTGGTGCCATCTATTGATGAAAAATGATTAGGATGTTTGACGTCTTGGTCATATGCAACATATCCAGCTTCAATACTTCTGTTTACCATATACGTTCATGTGTTTGCCTTACACACTTCAAGTCATGTCATTCAACTAAACAGAATTTAGCTTCATTTTATTCCTTCTTTTTTCCATGAAGTTTGCTCCTTCATATCAGCTCTTGATCAAGAACTAAATTATGTAAAAGCAGTTGCTGTTGAGAGAGGCTATTTATCTAACATTATTGACCAAGCAGTTAAAAAATTCTCATCCTTACACATCAAAAAGCATACTCTCGTTTTAAGAAACTGTAAGAATTCTGTCATCATTCCTTTCTTCCTATCTGTTAGCATGTTAAGTTATCCTCCTATCAGTTAAATACAATGCATGTATTTAACAGAAATTCAACTTTTGAGTCATTTTCTCTCTGTCGATAAAATTCACAGTTTCAGACTTAAGGACCCTATTTCAGATATGAACTCCTATGATACATATAGGATTCCTTGTCAGTGTACCTTAATTTATATTAAACTAAGAGAGCCTTAAAACTCTGCACTAAGAAACATAAGGCATATGTTAGAATATCTTAATATACATGAGGCATAAGGAAAGAAGAAATACATAAATCTTCTATTGCTGAATACTATGGGTCAGAAAATCACATTTTCCATATTTTTCTTCAGCCAAAATTATTCAAAAAAAACCTCTTCTGTTGCTGAATTGGATTTTCTACAGGCAATAATTCTCGTTAATGATCTCAGTTCCAATCAGTCTTAGCTTTTAAGAAAATTATATCATAGTTGTTTTGATTTATCATCCATATATGGTGCCATTAGCTTGATTTTCTTCCTCTCTTTCTTATCACAGGCTCCTCTTTCATTATTTGCATCTCTGTAGCTGAAGAAGAAGGTTCTACATTTAAATCTTCGAAACGAATCCTGCAAATTCATGAATATAATGACTTAAACTCCTCCAATAATTGCTATTCAGTGTGCTATTTTAATTCAAACATTGAGTTACATCAAAAATGAACCAGTAAAATGCTAGTTATACTCCAAATTAACCTCTACAGATTAGAAAAACAGTTTATGGAGATAGGAAATATCAGTTCCTAGTATGCAGTTATATTATAAAGGGTCATATTGTACTTTGGTTAAGTTTATTTGTTTATGCAAAAGAGCCCATCTGCCTAAGGGAACTGGCTCACGTGTAAAGAAAACCACAAAAATGCCCATGCTGTAAACCCATTTGTTGGACTTCAAACATGGGTTGAAATACCAGTGTTTAGCAACTTTGCCACTCTATCACTAATGGACTTTTTTTGGGGGGAGGGGCCTGCATACTGTTGTTGATGTGCATTAATACAGTGGAGATGATATCACAATCATGGAAAAAAGCCCCTGTCTGCCTGATACGTTTGAGTTTACGTTTGAGCTTGTTCATCTAAAAGGCTACATGCAGCAAGATCTATTATGTACAAAAGATGATTTTGCACAGACAAGTCATGATTTGTGTCCTTTTCACTTCAATCATCTATTATCTGACTTCCCAAGAGATAATTTGAAATGGTACAGTGAGCTTCATAACTTGAATTTTACTAAATGTGGCCAATTTTGTTTTATAGATGAATAAAAAATTAGTCTGAAAAGTGAATCTAAAAATTTACTTACCTGATGATAATCAACAACAAAACATATTCCGAGCAACTTCTGTGAATTGTTTTTAAGTTACACAGATTTTCCACATGTTTCCTAGTGCTTCCCTAAAACTTAGAGAGAAAATATGAAATCCATTATGTAAAATTTTAGAGAAA